TCCATTCTAAAGGCTTTTTAATAAATATGGCAACATTTTGTGACGTTTCATCGTTGCTGACGCGTAGTGAAGTGTTTTGAGAGTCTTGTGAAGGCAACAGAACTTACGTAACGCATATGGTTTTTTTAAAATAGTTTTTCATTTCTCGATGCGTCCTTAAAGTGTCGGAATATACTGCGTTTACCCTACCCCAAGAGCGAGGGGTAACAATTACCATCCCTTTTTTTTAAATTACATCAAAACTATGAGAGGCAGGAGCCAGCAATTTATGATGAGTGAACCTAGAATATAGACCTGTATCTTGCATGTTTCAATTTAAGTTTAATTTAGCTAGTAAAAAAAATGGCATTTAAAAAAAGTAGTCAAAGAAATCCTTTTTTACGGTAACCTATATATCCCTTATTCAAGAATTTCTTTCTTACTGCCAAATCAAACAATGATGTGGTTACTGGTTAGGCAGAAATTTATCTGTAATTTTTGACCACAATGGTCAATGTATGCCATAGAGGCTCTGACCGCTCTGTAATGATGATAGGCCTTTTTTCACTAGTCTTCTCAAAGTCAGACTTATCTTTATAGTTCTGAAATTGATTTGTCTTCATGATGCTGAAAAACAGTTGGCAATGAAAATCAGTGAACGTGCAGAATAATCTAGGATTCTAGGTACAAGAATTTTCATAGTATAGCTAGGCTAAGCTAGCTTGCTAGGGTGCTAGGCTATATAGAATTTTTTTTTATGTGCTGGTAAGTGGTAGCTAAGCCTGGTAGGCCACTAACCACTACCAGTACAGTGTATACATAGGAACTTGGTACTATAGCATATAGGTAGGTACCTTTTGTAGTAGAATCCTCAATTCTGCTTGTTCAATCCAAAAATACGTTCCAATTATATATAAAGTTTGTCAAGACAGTCTAGTTACAGGTTTTCCAAGTCAAATGAAGTGTGATGCTCACTGATGCTTCATTTATAGGTACTGCCACTCTCTGCTCTCAAATGATCAAATTAGCTACTTCCCTAGGCTATAGATTATCGTCTAAGAGACTAAGACTGATACGGTGATACATATACATTATACTTTATACCTACACTCCTACACCTACAGTAATGATGAGTACACAGAGTGCCGAGTGATTATAAATTGTAAAATTAGTTTAGCCATCAACTCGATGATTTACGTAGAACGTTTCACGTTTGACATGAGTAGAGAGCCTGTTTTTTCACTAGGATAAATACCTTTGTTCACCAGACTTCACCTACGTAGCCTCGGTAGCTATAGCTAACTCATCTGCCAGCTAGTACAGCGTAATCTTAAATAACGGCAAGAATAAAATATACAACGTTGATTTCATCAATAATGTTCATCAGAAAAATACTCACCTTTCACCAAAGTGTAATATGCAGCAATAAAATTATGAGCTCAAAATTCAGATCGTGGCCAAGATTCATTTAGGTATCAGCATTCTTCATTGTTCATAGGGTTTGCGCCACCACAATTTTGAGCAGAGATCTAAGAAAATGGGAAGCATCACAACCATTACGATAAACATATCTAAACGAAATAATTTCTGAACATTTTCTCACAAGAATTAAAATGCGAATAATAAAACATCATCCTATTCAATATTATTTTTCTTCAATTTATGTTGATTGCAGTTTGATTGTGGGTGATAAATATTTGATTATAAGTATTTTGGCAAATTATAGCTTTTTTCATTATTCGCATATGTTAATGAGATAGATTCATTCTAATAAAAATCATAATAACTCCAACTTAAATTGAAACAATCATCTGGATTCATACAGCGAAAGTTTCTTGATTCGTCCGTATAATTTTAGCGCGATACTGTGGAAATATGCTGTTTGACTTGTCTTCGTGTGATACACGCTATGTCTTGGCATTCTTGTTGACGAAAGGTTACTCTGACGGTGACCTAGGGAGGTTAGTTTGGTTAGAACCGTCGTTCAGTTGCAATGTGGAGTTCCATTGTCATCTTTTAACTTTCGTTTTCATGGCTGTCTTTCATTTATTCTGAACTTTGTAATTTACTAGTTTGTTTGTTCCGTTATCGTTGTGATTCTGTCATAGAATCGAAAAATAACGTAATATATATAGTTGGCTTTGATCCCAACAAAAGTTTTAAAACTGGAATTATGACATAACACAGTAAAGAAATACGATAAATTGTCCTGCCAAGAAAGAATTTTTCACCTATATTCGATCACCTTCGTTAAACGAGGAATGAATTAATGATCTGCAATCAAAATCTCTTCTCAGTTCTTCATGCACAAGGTATTTGAAAGTAAATTGATTATTTATCAAGGCTGTATATAAGTAAAAAAATAACGAGATATCATAGTTACTATATGCTCAAAAGTTGAACTGCACCTTAATTTAAATAGATTTTTACTTGTCATGCCCTATCATCGGCTTATGTACTTATTTAATAGTTGAAAGCCAACACGTATTTGTTTGCTCACTATTCCGTCTTTTTATTTATTTTTAATACCGTACTAACAATAAATCTCATAATAAATTCATTATATGAACTTTCAAGTTTTTTAACTCCCTGCAGCGCTTAATGGCGTTTAGTCACGGCATTACAATATGATTAATAGAGCACCACGCGCCTATCGATAATAGAAACATAATGCGTCTTGAGTCTGCCTTTCCTAGCAAGCCTTTAGTGATCACTTCCGGCGACGTTGATGATATCGTTAATCATAAATGATATTCAGCCAATCATCATTCAAAATTTGGACTGAACCTGCAAATCACAGACGTTTTACGATAACCTTACACCTACAATACCGACGTTATACGATAAAATACGACCATCCTTATACCTACAATACCGACGTTATACGATGCACATGCAGCCATGGTAGATGGCGTATAACGTCGGTATTGTAGGATGATCGTAGCGGCCACTCATACGATCATTCTCGTACACTCGGTTTTTGAAATATTTTTCGTGGCATGGCTTTATGAGTTCAATAGCAGCTCAGCTTTGCCGGTACTTGAGAAAAAGGTTATTGTTGGTCAATTGAATTCCATCTTTTATATATGTGCTAATATTAACTTGCCCAGTGCTATTACTCCATCCAATTGATAAATACCTATATTATCATTTGTATCGTTCTTCGTTTTACCATCTAAGAACGATTATTGAAGAAAGCAATGCTGCGGTGAACCGCGATGAACGCTTTCATGAGCGACCTATTCCGGTGCAATGTGCTATGCGAGCTCCTACGCGCGGAGAATTTAGTGAGCTTGTCACAAAAGCGATACACCTTTTGCCCGCGTGTGCGTCTTCCTCACACAGGTTGGCTCGGCAGAAGGGCCGATCAGTTGCTACTCGTAGAAAGTGTGTTAATATTTGGACGATACTACCCATATATTTTTCTGAGGGCAGAGTGTAGTGGGTGTGCTATGTGGAGGAAGTGTGCATAGCGTTCAGAGTGTGCACAGTGTGTTTAAAGTTTAGAGTGTGCATAGTGTTTAGGGTGCGCACTGAGTGCAGAATTAGCAGAGTGTGCAGAGTGTGCAGGCAACGCCCTAGCCTGGAGTAACTATGCCGACACGCGACAACTTCTGCGAGGACTTCAGCCGTAGATTTGTTCTTTCGACTCTGGACATTTGGCTGTCGGTCATTTGTTCAGATCAAACTTGCTTGCGAGGGGCCGTACGTGAACCGCTGTTTCAGCACAGCTGTTTCTGAAACGCTTATTAGAACCGTTGCCTCGGAACTGTTGTCTCTGAATCACTGCTTTAGAACCGCTGTCTCTGAACAGCTGCCTCTGAACTGCTGTCTCTGAACAGCTGCGTTAGAACCGCGGTTTTTGAAACCGTGCATTTGAATTGAACCGCTCTTCCTCAGTGGTAATAAAACTTTTTCGGTAATCATTGCGGCTTCTAAAAAGAGTTTCGTAATAGCATTGCTTGTTCGCAAGATTTTTTCTTTATCTGATTTCTTTTCCTAAAAACAATTTATTTACGTGTTCATCATCGGCATAACTGTACTGTTATCATATTAAAATCAAATGCCTAAACTGAAAGTCCTACGGCTCCAATGACGCCAGCGGCTGTAGATCTCGTACAGGAACGCGACAGCTGTAGGCCCTGCTGACCTACATCTGCAGCGCCGTCAGCAACAATGACCGACGCAGCAACATCTGCCTTGCGCGCCATAGGTATGCCGGCTATGTGCATGACGATGCGATCCATCCGCGGTGTCGTTCACAGTTACGCGAGCCGACGGGCGTCGAGATTTGATAAGCATGTCGATCATGCGGGAACGATGAACGGGCTACGTCAAGTAAATTCTTCCACTCGAGTTATATTCAATAGAGAAATGTTATCATTCGTATACGTCTTCGATTTTGCAACCAAGAACGATGTGCAATGATGTGATGAATCATTGCCTCAGGCGGTCAGGATAGTAGTCTTCCCACGACTTAATTCTGACGCTCGCACTGCAGAGGATCGGAAATTTTTTGGACCATCGGACTTATTGAACTGATTTCTGATCACAAGATTAGATAAATCGATTATTTTTAGTCAATAAAGACAAAGGATTATTAAATTATTAAGTATTAATAATTTGGTGTTTCGCAAACTGAACTCCGTAAGTTTTTCTCTATTAAGAAGCATCTAATTTGAAAATACTTTTAATTTGCAGGGCTTGATTAACAAATTAATTTCTCCAGGCAGGAGAAAGGCCTACATCTAAGGAAATGCCCGTTCACGGCAAGCAATTTTCGTATAAACAAAATGATCTAATTTAAAAAAAGGAAATGAACAAAATGTTCATATCAGAATTCTTTTGTGCAAGTATTATGAGTATCATGAAATTCTGCTCATTAACGGAGAGCAGATGGTGAATTTTACTCATTTTGACTATTTCTAAATTCCGACATTGAACTTGATTTTTGCGCCTCAAGAGTCAGTGATTATTTCCGATTTTAGATTTGCCTTCGATACTCTGGCATTTCTAGCAACGTGAAAAAATAGTTACTGTGGAAATGACCGCAGTTGAGCTACGGAAATGAAATAAAGATGCAGTTTTTATAGCTTTTGCGGCTTAAGCAACCGTTTACTGGAATGTCGCGATCATTGCTGATGCAGGCAAGCTTGTTCATGACTGGATGAAGCTTTCAATTTTGATGTCGATTAGTATTAAAGAATGCTATTACTTTCAATGCTATTTGAATAATAGTATGTTTGTTTACTGCTCTGATAAATTTGAACTTTCATTCGTCTTTACTCACCACTATACATTTTTAGACGAAGAAGCAAGGTATCCTAATGATACATACTTAGATTCAATTCTAAATTTGATTTGTTTTCAATTATAATCAAAATGCTCGTTAATTCTCGCAGCGAGCATAAAGCGGTTTGTTTACTCAAATATTATTTGCACGTTTGATCTTTAGTTTCTCATTTCAAGAAACCTAGTCAAAGTCTGATTGTAAAGGAGCTCTCTCTGAATTGCAGTGCCATTTTGCTCGGAATTGTTATTCTGCGTCAAATATTGTTTCAACTATAAAAGATATATTTGCTCAAACAAAATACTGGGTGAATATTTGGAATACAAATGAAAAGGAAATTAATCTTGCTTCTCTCTTGTGGTTATGTCGTAAGTATCTCTGGATGCAGGACACTTTAACTACGTAGGAACTAAGTCCTTGTGAGAGACAGGATAGCTTAGGAAGATCCGGCTTCACGACAATGATTGTTGCGCTGCAACTGCAGAGTGTATAGAGCAGATAGATTCTACTCTAGCGTCTTATTACACTAATGATTGTTGTTTGGCCAGAAAAATGACGTATCAGTGCTGATACGTCATTTTTCAGTACGTGCAGAAAGTATTTCACTAGTTGCAAAAGATGACCCTAAGTTTCACACATGCGTCTGCATCAGCTCCACGTGACTGAAGCTATCGCGCCGGCTTGCAGACCTCTTCTTTTGAATTAGAATTGATCTTAACAATGGTATCGTAGATGAGATAGCAAGAAGACAGGCGTTCATCACCATTACTTGCCGGGTGGTTGTAGCTTTGCTCTAACGAATGCATTCATCCGAATTGTTCTTCAAATTTTGCATTAATTACGTATTTTCTTGCACATGACTTCTACGGAAAGATGTAATATGTACTGTTGTATTCATCTTATATGACGCACATTAAAATCTAGAAGGGATCCGTGTAGCGAATATCAATGCGACGACATGAGTGAGTTGTTATATAAGTTTCGTCCGCCTTGTGCCATTGTGCCCCTGAGATACAATAGAGGAATTGCAGAGCTGTTACCGCCGTCTGCTACACTTATAATTGCAGCGACGGTGATGCCGCGACAGCGTGCGTGGCGCAATCTTCCTATATGTTCTGTGATGCGTGTTCTCTGAGTCTCTCTGATACATGATCTCTGAGTCTCTGTGATGCGTGTTCTTTGAGTCTCTGTGATGTGTGTTCTCTGAGTCTCTGTAATATATGTTCACTTAGTCTCTCTGTTACGTGTTTTTTGAGACTCTGATCCGCTCCCTGTTAGTGCTATGGATAAGAAAGTCTCATTATATGGACATTATGACATTATTTGGAAATCTTGCTGAGTACCGCGATTCCCTACATAGAATCAGATTCTGACTCACTTATATTAAGCAGCGTGGATAAGGATGGAAAGATGATTATAATTAGCACCTTTCGTAAACTTTACTGAAGAATTCTATTAAGAAAAGTGCACATCGCGAAATAATGAAATGAACAATAACGTAATGTTATCCAACAATACCATAAAAATTAACTTTCCAGTAAATCCAAAACAATACAATAGGTGAAAAGACAATAATAAAACGGGTTTACCTAACTGAATAAATGATGAGGAGTAATCGCACATTGTACCCAGTGAAAATTTACAGACGCGTCAGCTTCTGATTTGGATTATCAGAAGCTGGGGCGACTCTAAATTTTGTTACCCAGTGAAAATTTACAGACGCGACAGCTTCTGATTCCAGAAGCTGGGGCGACTCTAAATTTTGTTAGGGTAGTTTAGTGTGGCAGAGATTCTGCGACGCGCTGAGATCCACCACTTCACCCACACACTTACACAAACGAATGAGTCATATTTTACTCATAATGACACGCTTCTTGCAGGTAGCACTGATACGCACAATTGTCGGGCCCCAACTGGGTATGGATGGTTCACAAACGAGGAGAAGTGCATCGCTAATTGGACAAAGTTTTGTTTATTTCTCCTAGTGCGTGCACTGCAGGACCGCCCCAGCGCCCAGACCCGTGCACCAGCGGCGCTTGCATCGACCAACGGTTTTTTGTGTGTCGAAGGACAGCGAAAGTTGGGACCTGCCCACACTGTATACGCCCTCTCATATACAGAGCTGTATTGCTGCACTTAGTCCAGATAGAGAATAATTATATCAACACGAATGTACTTTAATAGATCAAACGTTCATTCGTGACTGCAAGGCTATATTGCTGCACTTAGTCCAGATAGAGAATAACTATATCAACACGAATGTACTTTAATAGATCAAACGTTCATTCGTGACTGCATGCAAAGGCTATATTGCTGCACTTAGTCCAGATAGAGAATAACTATATCAACATGAATGCACTATAATAGATCATTCGTATATGCGTGACTGGAGTGATATTTTGTTTCGCTATACTGCAGACGGACGATACGAATGCTATAATTACTCATTATATATAGGCCTATGAGTAATTAAATGTTATTTTGTATATTATAATTATATCATTGCCTATATAAGTTAATTTATGTTATAGTTGGTCTGAGGACTTTCGTACACGAGGGTCTTGCACATTCGCTCATTTCTTGTGGCAAACATTTGGTTTTAAGGAGCAGCTTGCTTTGCGCCTCTCAAATGTGTAGCTGTAAATGCACAATAGCATTCTGAGATGTTCATTTTGAACTGCAGTGTTGGTGTCGCATTGCAACGATAGTGCACTGCACACACGCAAGCCTTTTATTCACATTTTATTTAATAGTTTTATATACCGGGATATGCTGCATCGCTCGCGTTAGTTAGACAATAGTTTACAATATACATGTTATGCCTAGCAGTTCTAGGGTAAATATTTGTACTTTAGGGGCGTGTTTATATAGTGTAGAAGCTATTATGTGGCCTATATATTTTAGTGAGAAACGTTTCATAATTTATCCATTATTAATCTAATAAATTTACGCAATTTTCCATGTATCCAATCTCTATTTTTTTTATTATTCAAGCAAAAGTAATCTTAGAAATTATCGGTAAAATGTTAAAATTATTTAATCGAAGTGGTTAGTAAAATTGAACGTAATTTCGTTCAAAATTGGAGAAGAAAAAAACGAAAATAACGAGAAATTTGAATAAAATAAGGACTAGAAACCTATTTTTTGAGGATGATGTTAAAAACTCTCAACTATTGTAGAATGCGAAGTCGCAGACCAAACATTAGGAAATGTTATCCAAAGAGCGTAAAAAGCTGACAGCACAGAACGCACTATATAAGGAACTATGTCACCGGCCATTCTACGCTCGATTCCTTTTTAGCGCATTTTTTCATTTATGGGAAAAAAGGCGCCCGTCCGTCCGTCCGTCCGTGACTTCACGGACGGACGAGAAAATGCGCTCTCTGTCACTCACTGCAGTGAGTACTGATCTAATTTTTTAATTTCCCGGATGATGTACTCCTGCATTTAACAACCGAATACATAAAATTTAATGATCTCCAAATAATAAAGCGTATCAGTTATCGGAGAGAAACTAGGGGTTTCTCGCAATGAATGTATTCGTTTGCTGCTTTGCATTTTGCTGCTTGCTGGCATAGTCCGTTTCCTCGTCGCGAACTCGTGGCGGTCGTCGGTAGGCAGGATACCGCGGAAATGCTCTGAATGTTTGAGTTTCCCCTCGCCTCCTTCGCTGCAGTGCGCGTGACTTTTGATAGACCGTCCTGCATGGCGGTATTATGGAGAATAGTTACGAGTTTGCAAGTCCGTCAGCAAATCACTGACCGCCTTTCGTGCTAAAGCCAATAATCGCAGACGAGAAATTGGCTGCTGCATGCACTCATGCTGGTTTTGACAGTACGGCCTCTTCATATTGTGACGTCACTTGTGAATATCAGCATGAAGTCTTCTAATTTATTCCATTTAATCCTGTGTCTAAATCACACGCATTCAATTTTTGAGTATTTTGCTGTTATTAGATATAGATTTAGAGTGCAATAATGCAAAATTTGGCTGAAGATTGCTAGTTTAAGATTCGTCTGGGTAATTGTTCTATTTCTGAACTTATATTCTGTACTCGTGTCTCGTCTGAGTCGTGATCAAGCGCTTTAGCGCGTACCTGGAACATTTTTCTTTAGATTGACTTTTTCTTGCTCACAAATGATGAAGAAATGCAAAAATTTCATTGCCGGAACTTATAGCTAATTCAGTCAATTAGGTTTAATGCGCTATATCATTCAAACACGATTGACATATACCGTGGACTTTCTGCAACTATTCCGCATAAATTTCTCTACTTTCTATAACGTCTTGCCTTCCCTATTGTACACTACCTGTACAGTTTTTAAAGATATCCTTGACGCATCTGACTTAGGAAAAATTTTTATCGATTAAGGAAATGTCAATTGTCAAACTTTCAAGCTCTAGTTCGAGCTATCAATATGTAATAAATATTTCTAATCCAAATAATCTTGGTTCATGAATTAAAGTTAGCTTCAATAAATTGATAAAAGTGAGCATGTTCTAATGTATATTTTTATTTTTCAGAAAAACAAGACCGATGTCCGTCATCCCTGAACTCAAATCGGCGCTCGTTCAACAAGAAGCGACACCAGCAATTGAGCTGCTGCTTTCCCTTTCTTTGAGAGGTCATTAGAGCCATCCGAAGGAATATTAATATGGTCAAGAGACAGAAAGTATAATAATAAAAATCTCGTGATCGGATCCACGGTTCATGGTTGCAGTCTGAATCATCGATTTGTTGGAACTTGTAGGGTGACAGCGAAGCGCCGATGCAGGCGCCTTGTTCTTCATAGTTGGCATGGCATGAGCATCCCTGCGTGTGGCCTCTACAGCTTCATGTATACGCTGTAACACGCAACTCAATTACAGCTTCATGTATAAGCTGTAACATAAACTCAACACTGGCATGCTTCATCCCACTCCAGTCCTGCTATATTCTACGACTCTACTGGTCTGTGTTTGATGAAACGCCTCTTCTCTTTTGTCAGAAATTCACAACAACTTCTCATTCAATTCAAAATGAAATAATCTTCTGATGGAACAACTCTTTTAAGACGCTTTACTCTACAACTGAATTCTCTCAGGTCAATATAATTTTATACCGATATATTTGAATTTTTAAATGAACGTTTTCAAAGAACGTTGGTGAAATATTTCGAATGTAATTGTATTTTTAAAGAGTATATATTGTGGTGTGGGAAAATGTGCCAGTGTTTGTGAATAATTCAGTCTCACGAGTCTAGCTCTGCAAAACATCAAACCCTTGAACGGATTGCAGCGAAAAAATTCTATATTAATAAGAAATAAGGCCTAAGTGAAGTAAATGTAGGCCCAAATAGTAAGGAAGAAAAAGTATCCATAAGGACAATCTCAAGCTCAACCGAATGCAAGTCGTGTCTTATATATAGTACGATTTAAGCAAGAAGTTTCCGTGTAGAATAATATAGTTAGAGCCATATAGGGCTTTTGTTGTGCTGAAACTTACAAATCTTTATAGTGTAAGCCTAGAGAACGAGTGTTAATGTAGTCTTAAATGGAAGTTTATTCTGATCAGATTGTTGAAACTGACTGAAATAGTTATCAGAATATTTATGGTATGAAATCCCTCGGACACTGGACTGTGCAGATTCCAGAACAAAACTTTGACACAATTTAAAGGCTTCAAAAGTCGAGTAACACTGAACATACAAATTTAATAGTGTGAGGCGCGAGATGCATCCCTCCTTGAAACCTGCATTAAAAATGAACACTAAGAGCCGTCCACTAAACTAACCTGAAACATGATTCGAGTGGCACTGTTTCTTTGTGCCAGTAGAATTGAAGGTCCCTTTGACGCAGTCCATTGAATTGATTCAAATATCTTTGAATTGATTCATTCACGTAGTTGCTAAATGCTCGGGTATTATAAATACTAAGATTTTCTTGATTATAATGATATCCTTCGTATAATTATAGAGAATATGCGCGAATGTATGTATATATATAACTTGAAAGAGAGCCCTCCCCGAGAAAAGTCTACGGGAATCACCTCGCCATCTTGCGCAACTAGAGCGCAGTCGAGACCTCTGCTCCTAAAATAGCCGCTGTGACATGCTGGCGGCACACGCTGCCTCTCTGCCTGCCGCTAGTTAGCTTCTAGTGACGATACGCGATTGTGGTTCGTCTTTCTGCTAGTCACTTAGTCGTATGTTGTGTGACTAATACCTTGTCTTTGTGATAACGACAAGAAATAATATTACAAGGAATACTGTTAAGAGATAATCGATAAATTTGTATAAACAAAACCCTGTTGTCCGAGCTCAGAAAAAAATTATCAATGGCAAACTTTGGTTTCTAAAATTACTAAAAATAGCTTCGTCTAAGCAACTGACAATCTACGACAGTATGAAGAATTTTTATGCAATTTCTATGCACCGCTTTCATCAAACCTCAACGTTTTATCCGTTATTCGATTTGACAAAAGTTCGCAATAGTAACCAAATATGTCTCGCATAACATGCTGCTATAGGAATACGCACAGCTGCAATAGCTCAAGAATTAAGTGTTTTTGCGCAGATGTTCGTCACAATATCGGCTGGTAATTAGCCAACTGACCGAGAGGAAGTGCTTGGAAATTTGATGTAGTATCAGAGATACTAAATGTGACGTCTTGAGTGATTCCGTCCACGTGTGCATTTGTAAAATTATCGAAAAATCGAGTGGAAAGGAGCGGGAAACGCCCGAATATCTCGTATGATTGACTATTTATTCTGGAAATAGAAAAGTGTGTGAACTGAAAATCGAAAACGCCTGAGTACGAGAATATTGCAAACAGAAGGCAATCACTCCAGACCTCTGGGAATTTCTTTGCAGTCCCAAACGGGGCTTGGCTTCCTGCATATTTATAGTGCAGCGACTTGCCAATTCCCTAGAGATTGCGATAATGACCTAAAAAATGCTTCGTTCCAAACTGAAACATCAAATGGGTTTTAGTGCTGGAAATAACCACATGTGAAAGACAACGCAATAATCCATGCAAGGTATTGTATGCCAGCAGTAGGTGGAGGTGGCAGACTTGGAGGAGTGCCAACTGCAGATGCTGACTGTGCCAGGTGGTGTGGCACTCTCCTTCGTCACACTCGTCGCACTTCAGTCTATTTATTCACGTTTGTGCTCACTTTCATGTGCACCTTTCAATCACATGTACAAAATCCCATTACGTGTGCTCAGGAGATTATAAGATATTTCTTCACGATTACTACACCACACGAAACTTGGTGAGATTTGTGTAATAATTCACGGCTTGTGTTGGCTATACATGCTACACCTTTGCTCTAAATCAGTGGCCAAATGAAATTTTTATTATATAGAAAAATCAAGAAAGAAGTAGAGTGCGCATTCGATGCTTCATCTCATCAGGAGCCCAGTGCATTTGTTATCATGAGTGTTCCACGATAGAAGTAATGGGATTTAAGATAAATCATCGGATTCATTTCTGCAGCTGCAAATTGATTTTAAAAGAAGCTCTAGTTTTTGCCATACTCTCTATTGTATAAAAAATCATTGCTTATCAGGGCTGCAGTTGTTAGATGGCAGAGCATTATCAATAGCACCGTTATCTTCATTATCTCTCCCGAGTCAATCACTTCAAGAAAACGAGAGCTTCGTTGACTAGCTGTTCGTAGTGCGATATCTAACTGCCTAGTGCCTAGTGGGATACCTAAATGCGCTTGGCGTTTCAAAAAAAAAAAACTATATAAAATTGGTAACTAAAAACACAATCATCGGACAGCAGATAAATTGTTTCAACGGCCATCTCGATTTTTCATTTATAACCTTCTGTTTTTACTGTGGATCTACGTGAGAACTTATGATAAGTGGCATTTGATTCGGTGTTGAATGATTTGATGAAACGCTGATCAGTTTTCTAAGTTGTTTGTTTTAACTAACGGACATCATTTCAGTTATTTGTACCAGTCGTAAATGCAAGTGAAACTGTCAAAACAAATGAAACTTAAATACAAGTGAATCAAGTCTTCATTGGTTCGTACAGTTGGCTATTGAAACCGCCTACCATATTTTTCTAATAACGAACAACTGACTACACAATGCCAGTTGCTCCGTCAGTGACGTCGTACTACCCGAGTAGGAGTACCAGTTACTACCGAAGTAGTACTACGCCATCTGCCAGCTCCTATCTAGGACGAACTCCCTCCCTAGACCGTTCTGGATACTCCTCCTACACCTCTAGTTATGGTGGTGGATCTTATTCAGGCTATACTAGCTCCTACGCATCTAGATATAGTGCAACGAAGCCACCTAGACCCTCTTATACTTCTTCATACTCATCAGAAAGTTATCGTAGTCGAACGAATCGAGACCCATCCCCAGCGCGGACAAGTTATTACAGACAGTCTTCAGAATCCCGCGAGTCTGAGGAACGAAGTACTAGCAGTCGAGGTTTGGGATCACGTTCTGTGTCTGATACGTCGTCTCGGTATGCGTCTTCTACGTTATCATCCAGACTACGTGACAATTCCAGCTCCCGAGACTCTGGTTACAGTTCAAGGCTGACGACATCTTCCCGTGATCGCTCGTCTGACATCCGGAACGGTAACTCCGTAGAAACAAAATCCTACGGACCTAGTGCGTCATCATACGCCTCGAACTACCGATGGGAAGGACGTTCAAAAAATAAAGAAAAGAGTATCGAGAGAGACGAAAACGATGATAGGGAAAAAGAAAAAGTGCGAGTGAGTGAAAGAGTTCGGAATTACGAAAGTTTTGACGATGACACACCCCCTAGCTCCACCTCCGCACGTGTCGCGTCGGAGGAAGCCGCTGCTCGGCGCAAACGGGACGATGACTGGATCTCGGCCCGTCGGCAGCGGTTGGGGCTGTCACCTATTCGCAAAAGCAGAACCAGTAGCCCGGATCTTTATACTGCCAGGCCCCGGCAGTCAGTGGAACATAACGGTAACGATGAGGGTAACGAAGATGACAATGATAACGACGAGCGCCGGCAGTCGGTTTTGGAGCTTCGTCGTAAATACGACTCGTCCAACCTGAACGGGTACCCAAGTGACGATTCTTCGACCGTACGCCCCACGCCCACCATTAGATGCGAATCCCCAACTGAGAGCGTTGGCAGGCGACGAACTGACTCCGGTAACTACAGTCGGGACTCACCAACCTCAAATCATGCTTCTGCATCAGGCAACAAATCAGATTCGGAATCTGGTCGGGATTATCGTGACTCTAAACGTCTTGAATCTCCTCAACCGAGTAGGAAAAATCTAGGTTCACCTCAATCGCGATCCCCCGACGGCCGGAAGTCTCTCACAAACGGCACTTCGACAAAGGTGAGTTGTCAGTTGAATTTAAAAATTATTAATGATGTTCTGAATAATAGACTTGTTGCGTAAATTTAATGTACTAATAATATTATATTATCACGAATGAAATCGCTAACATAGTTTCAAGGTGACCGAGTGGTTAAGATCACAGAGATTGGTGCAACAATTACCTTCAACTTTAATAATACCTATATCCATAAAATTAATTAAAAATATAAATTACTTCTGAAATTAATCACTAAAACTATGATATTGATCTAATAGCTTCAAATTTATTTTTCTATATCGGTGAACAAGTTTGCAGATGCGCAACGCCTAATGAATATCGTAATTAATATAATATTTTTAGTGCAAAATAATAATAATTTAGTTAATTTTCCATAGTAACTAAAACGAAAACGCTCGTTACATATACAACTTTCACGATCTTTTTGAATTCGTGTCGTGAACGATGTATTGAGACAAAAAGAAATTTAAATGGAAATAAACGAAACACTTCAATAAGTCCGAAGTTATATTCTCTAATTCTATATTAAAAATTTTTGGTTCTCGCTCTGTAAAAATGGTGTCGGTGGAATTTTTACTTTTCCGTGTCTGCCTACAAAACATTCTAAGCTTATTTTCACCGAAGTGTTTGTAAAAATAACCACCTCACCTTGAAGAGCGAGTTAATAAAGTATGAAACTATTCGAAGGCAGATAAGAATTTATTTAAGTCACTCTTTATGAGATGGTTTTCATGTTCTGATAGCTTGGCGCCTCCAATCAAATAAGCGCAATATATAAAAATTTAACTCAGTACTCACTGCAGTGAGTGACAGAGAGCGCATTTTCTCGTCGACGAAAACATGAAGTCACGGACGGACAGACGGACGGACTTGGCGTCGGCGAGCACAATAGTGCATTTTTTCCATAAATTAGAAAATGCGCTAAAAAGTGGTGACATCACTCGTAAAAAATAGCTTTCCCACAGACAGTCATCATTTACAATATTACTTAGCCTAGACTTTAATGTAAACAAAGTTGGGTGAAAGCAAGACCCTCTTTTGAGTAATTGAGGACTTTTGGTGAAAACTCGTTGTTAACGTTGTCCTTGACTTTGTTTTCAACATTGTTTTGAAATTTGTCATTATTTCATCGAAAACTCGTTTATGCGGTCAGCGTTTAATGGAGCATGGACTGCTTCAATAAAGATTTTTTGACATGCATTTTTTAATTTTCTACAGTTTAGTGGGATGAATATCAATTGAGCGGCATATTTTAAATTTTTTGCTCTTGAACTTCACTTCATAATAAGGTCAAGCATTAAACAATTTCTTCAGGAGAATTTATGTCCAAAAAATAATACCAAAGTCAATTACTTTCGAAAAATCATAAGAAAGTGAATAAAATTTTAAATGAAAAAAAATCAGAACATGTCAAATCCAATTTGCCAACCATGCCACCCAGGGATTTGCACATTATCTAACGAAAGCGTTAATACAGTTCGTTATTATGTACGAGTAATGCTGTCGTAGTCTGGTCAGGACACAGGTCTGTTCAACGAACAAATCTTGCTTGAAAGTTAGAAATTATTAATGATATGTCATTCTAAAGTGACGCGACATATTACCGCTGCTTTAATGTCTTGAAAGTTTCCTAAAAATAAGTATACACGACCGAGGATATTTGGACGCGTTAAATCTCATTCGCTTAAGTTCTGCGCATGACGCACGCATCGCAGCAGCCAGGCAAGCAAGGCTACCCACTTGGCACTGCACCGCGTATATATTCTACGAGCTGTCCCTCTGGCGGCTGCCAACGCAACCTTCACCCTAAAGACCGCGGAATCACTTACGTTTTCGTTTGTCAATTGCAATAATAATGAAACAAATACCGCTTACCAATTTGTTTTTTTTCAAAGTTATCTGAAATTGAAGCTGTGAGTCAAAATTGAAGCATTGAGTTAGGTGTTCGAGACCTGCAACTAGCCGTGAATGTTCTGCGACATACAGAATCAGCCACTGGTCTAACCGCCTAATAAACGCTACCACCGCTAAATTTACGTCACTAAAATTCTGATTTCAGATCGGCTTTAATAAATTCCTGTGATTTTTCACCGATTTTCAGGGCGGATCAATGACAAGATCGTGCTTTGTATGAGGGCTGACTCGACTCTATAAAAATTAAAGATAATGTTGAACAATTTTTTCTTGTAGAGGCATAATTTCAAATCTATCCTAGATGGACTAAAGTGTAAGTTTTTCATTACCGTGTTTTTACTTTAAATGTAATATTCTAGGTATACAATTAATTAATTTGCATATCGCAGCAGTTTCCATTTCAAATTTTTGCGGCTCTTCAAATTTTCATGGACATTTATTCTATTAATTTGGTTGCTTGCTTCATTTAATTCGTTTAGAGGAACCAAGATTTCTGTTCGATTGAAGGATTGTGTGTGTTGTTTAGGCGTGAATTCTAGTTTTATATTGGGGTCAACAACATTAAATATAAACTTCTAAACAATAAACAAAAAAATAGTCAATAACATTAAATATTCACTCCTTAACAATAAACAATAGACAAGTAAGAACATTAAAAATACACTCCTAAACAATACACAATAAACAAGTTAATAACATTAAAAATACACTCCTAAACAATAAACAATGTAAGTCAATAATAATAAATATACACTTCTATATACAACAAACAATACAAGTTAACGTAATTTCCTAACGCTTGCTGAAACTAATGCTTGCGTGCAGTAGTGCTGGTATTGAAGTTTTTTAGCTCATTGTTTGACGTGTGCAGGAAATTCCGAAATTTGTAGCAAAAAATAAAACAGATAATAAATAACCTGTACGTGCTGCCACTACACTCAGACAAATGAGTGAAGCTTTGTCCAAATAACGATGCACTTGATGCCCTTGCATGTGTGGGAATCTTGACCAAGTTTGCACGAGCAGAAGAGCGTATCAGTTATACGTCTGCCCTCTGCGCGTGCTGTGGGTAAGAAAGTGTGTCACTATTTCGACGGAATGAAGCATTGATTTTTCTGTGTGGTCTTGTTAACTTGTATAGACACGCCCTCGGCCTAAATTCTCTGGTCACGCCAAGGCTGGGTATAGACTTTCGTACTCACCTCAAATTGGATGAAATTTCATTTCAATTATGAAATATTCCATCACAGAATAATGTTGTGTTGTAAAATAATTAATAATTTGTCTTCAATAGAAATTGAAAATGTTTGCATTAGTGGTAGATATTGAAATATTGACAGTGAATTCCGTAGATTTTCTCGAAAATTCTCTACTAGAAAACTACTTCATGTCATCTGTCCGCGAAGTTAGGTCACACTAATCTAATAATTAAATTTTCCTTGTGAATTCCGTTTTTATATCTTGCTGTTGCCTTTGTTTAAATTTGCCAATAATTACGATATTTTAGCATTTGATGTGGTTCAAAATTATTTTTCGAAACTACTCACTGCATTAAGAATGTTTTATGATTCCATGTCAGTGATGCCACTCTCACGAAATTATTTTTTCTTTTATAAATTCTGGGACGAACATTAACCGAAATATAATTGTCGTATAAAGTGATTTTGATGTGTATACCGCACTGAAGCATTTAGTTATTAGGGCAATTGCAAAGTTATTAGGACGATATTTTGCAAAGCTAGAATAATGTTTATCGAAAACGCATCTGAAAAATATTTGTCGGTGCTTACGCTATAATATATGCTCCACCATAAAGTGAATAAAATTTTTGATAACGGAATGTCAAATTTGTTTGCGAGTTGAAGGATTTTTTTTATAGGCCGATCAGTGTTTTTCGTAAAAGATCCTATTTTTTGACTGGAGATTCAATAAATTGTCATTTATGTTCTAGAATGATTGTTTTATGTCTGTTCGTCAGATTTACACATTAGTTTTGGATTCCAATTCTTTTTAATAGTTAATTAATCTGCCGATTCAACAGCAACAAGTGCGTGTTCCAACCCATCCGCTCACGGTCTTCTACAAATATTAATTCTTTGTATATGATGACAGAATTTGCTCTTTTAAGCAAGTCTGATTGAAGATAATAATTTTTTACTGGTTCTGATGAATAGTTGTGTGTATCGGCAGCATTCACTGCAGCATCTAGACGACCCGTCATGCAGCGTCTCGCCGTACGCGTCTAGCACCTCCTCCTCCTACTACTCGGCGCGCACTGGCGTGCCTCGCAGCTGCCGAGTCCGTGAACGTATTGCTGCGCGAGTTGCCCGCGAACTCGACGAGGTCAGCGCGTGTTTGTACGTTCTAACAACGGCTTTATTTCCATTAACTCTAATCAAATTTTCCCGCTAACAATCGTGTTGTTTGTTATAACATTGATTGTGAACTATAACGAAATTTTCAAAGCATCAATGTGGCTCCATGCAAGTTTAGGCTATTGGCCATCTCTCAAACGTTGACTAATATAATTTTTTTATAGAAATATGTTAATTTCGAACCGCAGCAACTTTTTCAACGTCCGTCGTAAAATTTTATTCAAGTACATTAATTTTTTTTGTTTCGACTGGAAAAGGTTTGTTAGAAAGGGGTTTTGTTTCGACATATGAATTGCTGACATTGTTTCTGCATGAGCATTTATGAGTAAACAGCTTGAGTGGAATAATTTACAGTACTGACATGGACTATACCTTCGCGCACACTTTCTTTGTTTGTTAACAAGTGCAAATGAGATCACATGGAGCATTTAATCATGTCTCATCCCTGATTAACATTGTGGTGCGGATTCGACTAGGATGAATCACTTTGAATATAATGTTTATCTCGGTAAGTGCATGGTTCAACATAATTTTTTACATCGTTGCGGCAATCCTGCTATCCAGGACATCAGGTTGAAGCGAATAGCCCGCGGAATTTTAACTTGTAACTCAAATGTCAACCCTTTATGAGAATTTTTATCACATTTTATGATAAAGATATTAAAATATATGAACATTTATTCATGATTTGAACTTACATTCACAAGTTTTTCACAGCAAGGGTTATTCAATGTATAGACGATGTAAGACACGATGCCTGCCTTGGCCGTCGAAGTGAGACGCAATTGAACATCTAATGTTCAACGTTAAACGCTTGAGTCTAAACAAACTCACAATCTTTTGAAATTTTGAAATTTAAACCGAAATTTAAACCTTTTTGAAATTTAAACCGAGTGTAGCACCGAATATTGCTCACGTTTTCCACACTCTAATTAGCATGCGTAATCGGGCATTAACGTGACACTAGAGTGCATATAATGACTTCATATGGTGAGGTTAAACATATTTACCTATTTTTAATTTTATGGTCTACATGGACGAGAATCGCAACGCAAATAACTTAATGAATATTTTCATTAAATATATTTCTCATAACTTTTAGCCAATAACTTGATTCATTATTAAACAGTGCAATAAGCTTGACATTTAAATGACTTTTGTCTAGACCGTGCATGTATGCAAACCTTGTATGCAATTCTTTTATCGGGCGATAAAGAGTGAAAAATCACAATTTTAATGTATTACACTACTGGAAAAGCGTTTCCAATTAGAAAAAAAAATCGTTCGCAGTTTGCACTCAGGCAGTGACAATACGAACGTTATTCATTCCCACAAAGCCTACTTCTAACGATAAAAAATTTCCCCCGTCAAAAAACTGCTACTTCAATAAAACAGGGTTTCCATCGTAAAATATCTGCCACCCAACTAAAAATTTTCATGCTGGAAACTAATTCCTTCATAAATGCATAATGCTGCACCGCTGGCAGTTCAAGCTACAGCCAATTTGTCATAATAGAAATCAACGAAATTGGTATTTTAAATTTTTCCATTTCTTGATAACAATAATTCATCGAAATCCAATACGTAAAACGTTCAACGTCATTTCAATCGTCCTACAGCAAGTATCTGGTCAACAGTAGTTAAATTAACATGCGCCGGACTGACACCATTTATCCCTTCAATGACATTAAAGTCTCGACGAATTGAGTGTTTCTTGCCCGACGTTCTTCTATCATGGTGCATTTAATAGAGCACTCTTCAATAAATCATTATCATACACGTCATCACTCTCTTATTCTGAAGATGAATGGCTCCGGTTACGCCATAAGCATTGCATTAGCATTCAAGGTGCTCTGAAAAAGCGATCTTGTACCACGCAGCCACCTCAAGTTTACAGCCCAGGGTTTAATATTGCCGGTATGATCATGATATTAAACTATGATATATTGGTGATCATGATCAAGACATTAAACATATTGAAAGTGATCATGATAAAATGGAAGAAAAAAGTGTTAAATATTGCTGCGGCATCGGTTTCATGCTTCAGAAAAATTTTCGACTGTTAGGTACACTTTTAGAAGTCAGGCATTGTTCCAAGAAAGCTCGAGGTTACAATGGATTACGTAATCCAGATTTAGTACGACAAAAAATTACGCATGACTGTGGAACAAAAGCGTTTGTATTGAGGCGAGGAGAGTAGAGGGGCGCCGCCCTTAAGCGCCCCGTCGTCGGGAGGGAGGGCGCCTTCAGCGTCTCGCCGTCGGGAGGGAGGGACGCCCTTCAAGTTTTTTTGCATCTATCGAGCGTATATTTTTCTCAAATGAATTTTGCTCGCATTTTTCTTTTAAATATTAATTCTGAGATGGAGTTAAATTGATTATAGTTTTAGTTCACAACTAGAATACCTTTTGCTACAATTCATTTTATTTGCATGGTAATGCTTCTTAATTTAATTGATTAATTGGCACCCGAGGTGTCATCGAACTTTTGCTTTCGAGACTGATGACCTCCGCTTAGGTCGACGAGCATCCTTCGTCCCGACCAACTTTTGCTTCTTCCGTGCCGAGAAGTTGTACTGCATTAAGAAACGCGCCCTCATTAAAATGGGTATAATAAATTTTGAATATCAAAAACAAACAATAAAATGCGGAGATTAAGTTACAATGTGCCATTATGGCGAATTATTGATATTGTATTAGCGTTACCAGGAATGTTTCTATAGGCCTTAGGCCTAGGCACCTATGGCGGTAGCTTGAGACATTAATTGCATTAGAAGTCAAAGAAAAAATTAAATGAGCGAGCACAAAAATGTGTTTCCTTCATTATAATGCAAGACTTTTTACGGAAAAATGATGATTTTCTCTAAGTGCACATTTTTTGGCAACACATAATGCTGTATTTTACCATGTTTTTCTGTGCCTTTATATTTGGAACCTACAAGACGATAATAATTAACTGAATTATCATCACTTAAGCTTATCTAACTGAAAAGTTGATAATTACGGATAATATCAACTGAAAAATTGATATTTATGGACATTGAAATACTTCACAATGTCCGAACATATTGAGGTCCATGGACTCGTATTTAATTTTAGTTCTAGAGTACTAAAATTGTGCATGTTTTCAAATTCCGTAACGCGAAGTTGGACTATTCAATCAGCTGACATTTTAGGTGCAGCTCAATGTCGTTAGTTTGTCTATTTCTTCTTTATTAAAATTGAGAAGTGATGTAGAAAGAGAGAATTAGACTTCGTTAGCGGCACACATGAGAAGGAAAATCGATTGCTCGGTGATGGAGCTGCTGGCTCCGTGAAGGTCAATGTCGATAGGCTGTGAAGGAACGAAAGCGGCGATATCTAATGGACGCTTCGGTCATCGTTTCGTTGAAGGATTCCTCTTGTATGACCGCATTCATTTCTCTGATTGATTTAATATTTTTTTGTCATAAACGTTCAACGGGCTGATCACACATAACCCTTGACGTGAGATGGATTTTTTCGACGTTATTTTATTATATGAAACATTTCCTGAATGTTTACTACAAAGTTGAATGCTATCTATCATATGAGTGATAATGTTGATATTTACATGAATATCATCATGTTAATGCCTGTGTTCGTCCATAGTTTCTCATGCTATTGCACATCACACATTCCAACACTATCAGCGACGTAGGCTTGAAGGCGACCTCTGGCGACGGGAAATATGTACAAATGTTCCCTTTTATTTCGTTGCTGCGCTCCTGCGTTATGGCCCAGAAAAATGTTGCGTTTGGAATAAATTTACCGTAATAAGAGAATGGGATCTTATTTAACCTGCATTAAAATTTCTCCCTGTTTTCTTAATGAAGGCAAAAACCTTGTAAACATCATAATATTCTCACATTGAGGCATTTTGAATCCCTAACGAAAACCCAATATGGCAGTTGATGGCAACTATCGTAAACTGGGCCACATACTGCGTCGGTCCTGAGCTATGCCAACTGCGATTTGCAAGCGTTGCTGACTAGTGACGAGGTGCAACAATACATTCATTATTTATACATTCCGATCAATCGATATGTATGCCGGGGCCTGCTCCAAATGTAGGTTAAACTCGCTCTCTTCCTTCGCACGTGGCGAGAAACTGAACATAACTTGGAGTGCCTTCATTTTTTGCTTCCAGCGAGGCATTCTATGCGTATTCATATCTATGAAGAGTTGAGCCAGTGATGTCCGAATGTTTTGGTTATTCCATACTTTGAAAAGTTGGAATTAATATTTTCCACTTGCCTACGATCTCTAACATAATAATTTTATTCAATACTAGCGAAGATACCCAGCGTTGCAGGGAAGGTTGTGGAAGAGATACGAGGTTAAATTGCAGATTGATAACATGAAACATTTTCCTGCTATGGAACAATCATTATTACTTGGCCCAGTAGCAGTCCCAAGAATTTATGAAGGATTTGTCAATAGTATGAACAATATCTGAAAACATGTCAAAAGGCAATTTAAATAGGGTGCTAGGATTATGAATGTATCAGTCTAATGCGTTTGTAGCTCTAAAATCTAAATTATTTTCTAGGATATTTGCGCTATCATCTCTAAGCCGTCAAAACCTGCTTCATATCACCAACATACTTTTAAATTACCACAACGTGCATGAGTAAACAGTCGTTTCTACTTCGATGTTTATTTATCGCGGCATCGGTACGTCGCAGATTGCCGGCATTTATTCATTTTCTAAATCAAAAATGGCTGAATTATTTCGTAAAATTCTCCGTACGCTGGTAGGATGCAGGGAATGCAACAATCTTCAAACTCACGTCACTGAGTGCCTATTGAGCACGAAAAAATGGTGACATTGATTTGTTGCACGTGCCCATTGCAGGCTCTAGATTTGTTGCAGTGCTCATTGTAGGCTCTAGATTTGTTGCACCTGCTCATTGCGGGCTCTAGATTTGTTGCACGTGCCCATTGCAGG